AATAATATGTTTATTTTGGGGCCACTTTTGTGAGGGAATTTCCGTCTCAACGGTGAGAGTTAGAGCTAAAGGGACGAAATTTTAGTCCAAGGGAACCCTTTCCTAAGTTACCCCTTATGAGACCACGACAAATATTTATTTTCCACTTCTTGGATTGACCCCTATTGCTTTGTAACCCACTTTCAGACCCACTCAGTGGTTGCCAGGATTTGCACCAACCGTTTTATTGATGTCCACAATTGACAACAATAATACCCTGAAATTTTCAGACCTCTAGATTACGTCCTTCTTGGGGAACGGACAGACGGACAGACACAGGGGCGATGACATAAGCACGCTTTTAACTTTTAAGCAAATAAAGAGCAGGCTAAAGAGGGGCGTCACTGACGAACGCGGACATATCACTGTCAAAAAAACTGTACCAAAGTACAGCAAAAGCATGGTATGTTTGTAGTGGTGAGGTACATGATCGTTGTACTTTTTTGCTGTAGTTCCCATAAGACTCCATGTTAAGGGATACTGTACTTTGTTTCTCAAAATACTGTACCTTACTCACTACAATGCGATCAGGAAAGGACTTGACCAGTTCGTGCTGTGGTCTTTCTGACAGTGATCGTCACTGCACGGAAAAACGGATTAGCCCTCACAACTAATAAATTAGGTAATTTTGGGACAGCTAGTCCCAAATTTGCTGTGGCAGCTAATAGTTGGTTGCCCCATACAAGAGTAAGTTGCCACAGCAAAGCTGTCGCTGCAGGAGCCAAGTTGGGAAAATGGGATATGGAAAAAGGGGCTGTAAACGAGCTAATCGGTTCGTTCTGACAACTAATTTGGTGTTTCTCTGTCAGAACGAACCGATTGGCCCGTGCAGCGACAGCTTCGCTGTAGCAACTATCTCTTGTCTGTGTCAACCAACTGTTACCTGCCACAGCGAATTTCTTGTCTATCTCCAAATTAGTTATTTTATTAGTTTTGACAACTAATTATTTTTTTTCGTGTGACAGACACGTACGAATGGATTATTGGCCAACTTAAACCAGCCATACATCCTAAACGGATGCATGTGGGGTACTCACCCTACTGTGGGGTAGTCACAAAGTAGTCAAGGACACCCTCCAATGTCCAGGGGAGGGAAGAGGGGATCGGAAGATGCGGGTGTGGACAACGGGAGTATTATAGTTTCGTTTTTGCCAAGAGGGTGAGATGACATATACTGTAGCAAAAAAGCAAGAAAGTCTCGACGAAATAAATTTTTGAGCATGTTCATGTCTGTAGCGTCCGTCACTGACAGCGTCCGTCAGTGACGCGATTTTCACCCTGTTCCATCTGGTTTTTGATCTCGGGCACTAAGACTAAATGTGTTCTTTGTGACAAACTTGCTTTGTACCTGAAGTGTCGAAAATATATCCCGGCAGGATTTGCCACAAATAGAAAAAACACACCAAAATTGTCACTGACGGACACGCCTCTCGAGGGCTTTTTGAAACCCTCTATGACCGTGGCACCGGTGATGAGTGGTCTTACGTGATGTAGAAGGCCTACCTAACAATTTTCAAAAGTGAGCTCTGAAAATTTGTAAGTGGAAGAGCTCTTTTAACGCAAGAGAAAAAAGGCTTGCAAGTCCCGCGTATTGTTCTAGAAAGGGAAAAGCCATAATAAGTGCTCGGAAACTAACTCAAGTAGAAAATTTTTGCCAATGTTTTTTGCGGATTTCGAAACTATAGACCTTTGACGACGCAGAGCAATTTTCGGCACGTCTCTAACACCAATTTGAAATATCGACCACCACTTCCGCTTTTTACTGCAATAACGCATTCCGGTAAAGCTGAAATGCAGAAGAATACGGGGAACAAGAAAACGGGAGTCACTATGTAGAAGCATAGTGATGTACGTTTTCTTCTTGCCCGCATTCTTCTGCATTTCAGCTTTACCGGAATGCTATATTGCCCACTGGGAGACTCCTCAGATGTCAAGTTTTCTATACTAAGTAGACAGCAAAGATATACCGGGGGAAAAGGTGGTTTCAACTAAAGTCGCTTCAACCGTCCGAAAGCCCGTTTTCCGATGACAGCTTAAGGCCCGTCCCAAACGTCACCGGCAGGCCGAGCTAGGCCCGCTCCCTGTCGGACCAAGTTGGCGGTGGTGCGAAGCGGAGCTGCCAACTTGGTTTGGCGCAAGAGCGGGCCTAGCTTATTTGGTATGATACCTCCTTTTCCAACTTTTAGGAGAATGGCTAATCAAATTTCTCCAACATGCACAAATTAGGCAATGCAATGCCTGATGAAAATGATCTAAATAATGTCCGGAATTAAAAGAAGTTTTTTTCAAGAACCCCGCAAGGACCGACGCGAGCGCGTCGCAGCGGAACATCACGAAGCCTGTTACGCGAGACGTGGTCCGGCGTAATAAAGCCTTATGACTGCAACACTATTTTTCTTCAAGCAGATGCTTTTCAAAGAAAAGACCATGGGGACAAATTAACTTACTGAATCTTAAATGTTTCACCAATTTCCATACGAACAAGACGCGTTTGGTTGGTGAAGGACCTAACAAGCTAAAATAAAGTACGAATTTGTTAAGAGAACGCTTAGAAACCCCTTGTAAAACTTTTACTTACCCGTGGATATATCCAGGTGCACGTGATCATGAACAACCTTCAAGGCGATGCTTTAGTAGTTTGCAGTCTGTTTACTACCAGGTGCGAATTTAAAGCCTGCAGAAGTAATGGCAGTAATGGGCCCAGGAACGTGCGCTCAACTGCTATGACTGTCACCATAAAAATATTCGTGAGAAGAGGGTCACAGGAAAAAAAGAAAAAAAAAGAGAAGCACAACATATTTACTGCGTTTTTCTTAAATACAACGTAAATGTACGCCAGACCACGACTCACGTAACAGGCTTCTCGATATCTCACGAAACAGTATTACCTGAAACTTGTGGTATGATGCATTGTCCCTAAAATATACAGATGGCTCCTTTGTGTTGGCAAGGACTTTCTTTGAGAAGAAATTAGAGAAATGACCTGGTTCATGTCTCGATGGTAGTCATCCCCAGGCTTTGGTACCAGCTTGGAATGTTACACCAAGGAAGCATCCTCGATGAAGCCATTTTCACCACGGCAATGGGCTACAATGTAGCGCGCACCACCTGGCAATGTTTTGGACTTCTGGCAGTCCCACTTACCATTAGTCTAATAGGGTATTTCACCTGACGCAAACCGGATCTAAAGGTGAACGAGAGTTCTTCCTGAACTCTTTCCTCCTTGGCGCTCATTGGACGATGTCGACGAAGTTCTCGGACCCGACACTAGGGGTCGACCGCCCTTGCGGGCAGTTCATGGACTTCGTAGGCGTCAGCCAATCAGAGCAAGGGAGGAAAGAGTTCAGGAGAAACTCTTGTTCTTTTTTGGATCCGGGTTGCGTCAGGTTAAATACCCTATTATAAGTGACACCAGACCCATACTCGAAGAGACATTTCTTCCTAACCAATACTTCCTGGCAAACTTTCCTTCATCATACAACTGCTTAAATGTCTATAAAAATCTAACTCAAATCTCTACAATCCGAGGAGTCTCCTTTAGATAAGCAGTTGCATATCTCTTTTCAAAGAATAACCCAAGATCATGTAGCACTTTTCTGAGTCTCTCTCTTCCACCAACAAAGTCAATTCCACGATCACTGCAAAAAAGCACAACACATCACATTAAAAAACAAGTTACTGGTAAATTTTATTACAGACATACACTTTGGGAGATTGTTTGAGAAGCACCGGATAATAATGCTTTCAAGGTAAGGTGAGTGCCTGCAAATCAGAGAAAGTAACACCACATACAAACTGTTTAAAATTCTGTATATAATTCCTGAAGGCCAACCAATGTAAATTGATGACAATATAGTGAGGGGTGGACCACTTGGATATTCCATGTACACACTAAAAGATATTCCAGATATTACAAAAGTATTCCAGATAGCCCTAAGGTCGTTCTGATATTCCACCAAAATTTTTGCAGAAATTACAAAAGTACTCCAGATATTCCAAAAATATTCCAGATATTCCACAAATGTTCTAGATATTCCAGGTACACAAAACTTTAAGTAGTCGACCCCTCGCAATATAGTATATGAAATTTAATTTTGTAATGACCCACTACCTTTCCTGTGCAGCTCCAACAGCAAATTTCGAATAGCAGCCGTGGTGAAACTGTCTATGGTACGGACAGGGCGTACCCGAGTTCGATCTTTGCCCGGGCTGTTGCTGATACATTTTCCTTGTGTATTTGCTCACCGTAAAAACACTCATACCAAGGCATGTAGCAGCACGCTTCCTGAATGACACGAAAGAACAAATAAATTAATTCACAGCATTGGTTGAATGATTGCCGAGCAGTATTCTAATCTTTACTCACTGGACTTGATTAACGGGGATGACAGGCCCCTATTTGCCTTCTTCCTTTTAAAGTACTTGACAGCATTGTAGAGGATGGCCTGGAATTGCCGATTGGGAAGTTGCCCACGAAAACCCAATCGATTGGCCCACGGATGAAGGCTTTTCAGCCGCCTTGGCTTTTTGGCCTCTCGAATGAGCTTTCGGGCAGTTCTATTGGTATCCTTCTAGAGATTGAACTTGGCATTTCTGAATCAGAAATCAACAAAACTTCAGTTTCTACAACAGGTTTGGGAAAGGATTGAGACAATGTCAGGTGTGGTTGAAGATAAATACGTTCAAATACCTCAAAGAAGATGAAAAGGCGATCCTGACGTACCTTAAAGAAAGAAATATAATTGTAAAATATAATGGAAAAACATACAAAATGCACAGATTTACCAAAAGCTAGCCAACTAGCCGACTTGTTTGCTTTTTGGAACAACTGACGATCGACATCAACAACGAACCCGAACGAGAGTGGCCGCACATGCGTCGCCTCGCTTCGGGCCCCTGTGGTGGGGGAAGGCAAGCGAGCGTCAGCGGAGGAGAAGTCAGCCTCGCCAGTCGAGAACTTATGTCGGTCTCACTATATCGAAGTTCTAATGAGCTATTCCGGAGAAGTGGCAGAGAAGAAGAGCACGAATAACAAATTGGCTACTGCGCATGCCCGGCCGGCGCGTTGGGCCGGTATGAGAAATCGTGCTGTCACTTGCAGCTTCCTCGAAGCCGTGTGCCACAGACAAGATATTTCTACACACAGATATTTGTTTTAATAAACATTTAATGTTAGGATATCAAAAAAATAATTTTAAGTTGAAATATTAAGATTTGAAGAGGTTTGAAGTGATTTTGGTGACGATATGGTAAGTTGATGGAGTTTACGGGAGAGAACAACGTAAACCAAAAATCATCTAGGTTCATATTTCACCCTGTTTTAAACCTTTAACTTGTCATAACATAAATGACATGTAAGAAGGTTGTTCGTTCATCGAATTTTAATTTTCGAGTTTTGGTCACGTCCCTACAGTAACGTAAGCGAAGTTGGCCAACCAGTTGGCCAACCAACCCATCCAACCTTACACGGAATCGACTTTCGACGATTTTTTTTATTTTTATTTTTTTTCAGCGCAGATGAAGCCAAATAAAATAAACGCAGTCAGGCACTGTTCCTGGGTGTATCCCCCACACCCTAATGACCCCCAGACACGTCTTGGCATTAAAAAACACAACACCACAAACAGCATCCAAGGCGACTTCGGAGGCTGAGACCGTTTTTGTCTCGGGTGCCACGGGTACCCCGTCTCTTC